GGTGAACTTGGTTTCTTGAAGAGCGATGAGAGAGAACTTGTTGGCCAGTGATGAAAAGAGAGATCGGTGCAGTCGGTTGATACCGTTGGCGTTAATGGAGACGCCACGGAGTTGCCACGTGTCTTGATTAGGCGGAGTAGCAGGGAACCATGTAGACGTCCATAGGGTGGACTGCAGCCAGTTGTAAGATGGCTTGATGGACGGAAGTCGAAACGTTGGATCGTTGGAGAAGGTAGTCGCCCAGGGGTGACGCTGCTAAAGCGCACAAGGTGGCATGTGACCAAAGAAAGTGTGGTTCGAGCTCAAGAGTCGCAAGACGGGGGTGGCCTGTATGTCGTCGATAGGCTTCCTGAGCCAAAGCTGAAACCTTGAGAGCGTTGAAGTAGATTTCAGGCTGGTTGAGTTGAAGAACGAGACAGAAATGGGAGATCGCAAGGATGAACTGGTAGTTGTCGTTGTTGGGGACGATGGAGGACAGGATTGAGGTAGTGGGATCAGGTTGGTCAACGGCATGTGGCCAAATATGCGCCCAAAGCGGTTGCGGCATGGTAGCAGTCGACTGCGCTTGTACACCGGCGATGATTGAATCCAAATACGTGTGACTTTGGATGTATCGTTGGAGAGCGTGGCCAGGGAGCTTGGCATGCAGCACCGACATGTTATTGGGTGGCCGGACATCAATTAGTGGAGCGAGATGACCCGGGCTTGCTTGAATCATTGCGAGAGCTGCACTTGGGTCTTCTTCCGCATGATAGCAGTTGGCATAGTGTTCCAGGTACTGTAGTCGGTGAGTTCACCTATCGTCATGGATTCAACGTCCGTGTTGATGGTCGAGTAGGCGTAAAGATCTGCATGTGATCGGCAGTAAGCGGCGTATAAATTGGCATTCCCTGCAATCTTCATGTTGTACGGTGCTGGGGAAGGATCAAGATCGTCTTCGGCGTCTTGAAGTACCTCAAACATGTTGTATGTGCTGGGAAATGAGTGCGCGACTATGCCATAATGACTTGTGGAATCGCCTTCGATACTCTCAGCGTGAGAGAGGTCAATTGGTGTCGGTGACTTGGAAGTATAACGACGTGAGAGTTGCGCTCGGTACCAGATCGGCGAGTATTCTGGGATGGCGGTGTGTGTTTGTATCAAGCGGTCGTGGGCAGCATGAATGAAATGCGGGTGGACTTGAACCGTGAAATTCTCTGCTGACACTTGCGATGTAGTATCATCAAGTTAAGTCGCTTGAGCAGGTCGGAGGGGAGTGTCGGAGTCGGCGCTGGAGCTAAATCTGCCCATGTTATCATTTTCAGAGATCGGGTCATCCTGATCGTCCTCTGAGTCGTTTGACGGGACGCTGGTGTCAATAGGAGCGTCGGCCGGGCTCGACAGTTGCAACAGTGTTGAAGTTGTTGTGCACCGCCTTGGCTGGCTTGGACGCTTGGTTGTTACCCTGGCGTGGTTGTTGACGTGTTGTGCGAAGACTGGGGGGTACGGTTTTGTTGTATCGCGTGATGCGATGATGTACAAAGGTCGGGGGTGATTCAGGCCCGTGTACGAAGAGCTCTCGTACTGGGTCGTTGGGTGCAAACATCAGGCACTTGGGGGGGTCTCGAGTTGCAAAATACACGGTAATATGGCGCGATTGGATGGAGTTCTTGCCGAATGTTGACTTGTTCATTACGGGTGGTTCCCCGCGCGCGTCGAAGTACGTCCAGATGTCATCGGGTTGAGTATCGGATGCCAACGTCAGGTCGATCCAATACAGATGCGAGTATTCGGAATATTCCCGGATGGGAAACGGTCTTCCACATATCATGAGCTTCAAACCGCCAAGTCTGGTGACCATATCTCGATCCGTGCAATTGAAACTAATCCCGACATTCTTGACTCGCATGAAGTCGCGGCAAACACTCTTCGCAGTCGTCCAAGTAGCCGGTTGGTGGGTTGTCGCCAGGCTATCTAGGATGACTTGGAGTGGAAAGGTGGCAACCGCTGACTTGCATGCGATCAACATGTTGAACTTTTCTTCTGGCGGAGTTGGCGTAGGTGGCGATGCCGTGGCTGCGAGTCGACGGTCGACATCGGACAAGTTGCCTGCTTGAAACGCTCGCATGGCCGTAGTAAATTCGGTTTCCGTAGGGCGGCAGCGAACATTGGAATGAGTCTTGTACCATAATGCACGCCAAGTAACGTCGACTTCAGTCTTGTCCAAGACGGTAGTTGCTGATACAGGTGTTTTGACATGGCCGCCACCCGATCGATTGTTCAGTGGGTCCAGAGGCCCCAAAGGGGCTTGACCACTCACTTTCGTGGCCCTAGGGGCAACAACGCGTTCGGGGATGGCCGTGGAGGGCGTAGGGTCTTTAGACGCGGTACGATTGCGTCCCGGTCGAGTGTTGAGGGAGTCCTCATGGCCGTCGACATGAAGCGGCGTGGTCGAACCTTCCATTGTGGCTCGGCTATTGCCAGATCGGGTGTTCAGTGGGTCCAGAGGCTCCATAGGAGCTTGACCACTCACTTTCGTGGCCCTAGGGGTAACAACCCGACCGGCAACAGCGCGAGAAGACGTTAGGGGTTGGCCAGACTGGCCGGCAGCAGGGCCAGAGATCGGGCGTGAGGGGTCGGCATGGCCGACTTGCGACACATGAGCGACGGCAGACGATTGGTCGGCAGAGACGGTCATGGGCGGGAGAAACGATGCGATTGATGGGGCCAGAGTACAAGAGGGGTAATTTTTGTGTTGATCGGGGTGCCAGTGGGACTGTGCAGGAGCGAGCAAATTGAAGGAATTCGCAGCAAACGGCGGCGGTCACACCCTGGCGGCGAAGGAAACGAAATCCCTTGTCGGGGGCGTTGAATGGCGTACGGCAACCACCTCGCTGCCTCCAACGTGGCATCGATCAAGGGGAGGGGGGTATGGAAGGTGCCGTGGCGGTCCTTCGTGGCAGGAGATGACGATGGGCAGTCGTTATTGCGCCAGAACCTCGTGTGAATCGATGACACAAAACGTCAACGACGACAGCGTCGACATCCCATGCGGACGATATTGGCGGTGGGAGCGCGACGTCCCATGCTGGATGGACACCAGCGGGACGCGATTACGAAGAATCGAATGGGCTGGGAAGGTGGAGGCGCTTCGTGTCATGCGCGAGAGTCGGGTTCTCGCACCGCACGCGTCCTCACCGCGCTCTTCGCGCGTGCTGGATTCACCACCGCCGTCACAAGCGACATCGGCTGCAACGGAACGCAGTTGCCAATGCGCAGCCCCACCAACGGTGCACGTCGATCTGTGAATGGAGAAGTTCGTGCGCGTTTCAGGTGGTCTGGGAGGTACCATCATGGCGGGCAATGCCCCACAACGACGTGGGTTGTCTAGTGCACACGTCATCGCCGCCTCCAACGGCAGCATTGCCAGCGTTTGCATCGACGACGACGTGCATGTGCGTACCAGCGGTCCCCCGCCGTGTGTCGAAACGAGCGACCAGATCATCCAGCACGTCGCATTCGACGACGACACGAACATGGCGTGCCCAAGTTGCCACTGGAATCGCGGGGCCATGGCACAAGTCTGTGTTGTGCATCGCACATCGCTCCACCCCCTTCCATCTCTCGGCCCATGGGGGCATCCTTGCTTGACCAGGAAACGAAGAGGATGCTGCCCCCCCACCTAGCTCAGGAAGCAATGTCTCGTTTCAAACGTACGGCAATCTGGCCAACGCTACTGCTTGTTCACTCTCAGAAATGGACTGGAAGCATCCCGACTGTGAAGGACGATGTGCCTCTGCGTTCGGCAGCGCTGCAGCCTTGGCCCGTGGCATGTCGACATCGGCCCTCGTAGCGAATTCGCCGCCGCTGGGATGTGGAAGGTCCGACAATGTGTACCTACCTACCTACCCATGGGGCAGCCATGCGCCCACCACTCGCAAGACTCCCAGCGCTGTGACGAGCTTGCCCAAGGGAGCGACTGAGGGCAATATATCACTTGGCACGTCAAACGGCGCTGCCCAACGTCTTCCACGTTGCGCTTCCATTATGGAACATCGCGGAAAACATTCCACCGCGGCCAACGCATTTCCACGACGATGTCCACTTTTGTTTATCGCAGCCAGGCCCGAAGTGTCATGAAACGATTCGTTCGTGTCGGTGCATTGGCTGCGTCGCTTGTCACGGGCGAGAGCACGGGCGTGGCACCGTGCCTGGATGCACCCGAGGGGTGGTCGGCCGTGCTTGGGTCACTCACACAAGTCGCCGCGGACAAAGCGATCGTGTGTGGCTTGAACGCGCTCGACGATTACAAGGTGTTTTGCAGCCTCAAGAAGCAGCCCGCGTCGTGGTGGCAACTCGAACACGTCGCGTTCAAAGATATCGCGGTGCGGGACGGTGTCGTCTTTGGCATTCAGACCGACGGGAAACTCATGACAGGTCCGTCCGGCCCGACCGCCACCTTTGTCCAAGTGCCGACGCCGTTCTGTGAAGCGGTGGCCATCACGTTCAACGGAAGCACGTTGTGCGTCGTGACCAGTCGCAGCCAAATCTTTTGCGCCAGCACGACGCGCACGGGCTTTCCCGCGACCGTCAACTGGCAACGGCTAGACGGTGACATGACGCAACTTGCCCTCGCGGGGACGACCGTGTACGGCGTGAATGGCCAGAACCAGCTCTGGACCGGCACCATCACGGACGCGACTCTTGCGGCGGGCGTCACCAAGTGGGTCGAAGTGCCAAACTATCGTTTCCAGCAAGTCGCGTTCGACGGCGAGCGAGTGTGCGGCGTAACGCCGTCGCTGCAAGTCGTTTGCGCTCCCATCCACGTGGGCGACTCGAACAGCGCTCCGATGTCGTGGACAGCGTTGGAAGGCGAATTAACGTACGTGAGCAACTACGACACGTCCCTCTACGGCGTGGACGCAGCCGGACACGTTTACGTTCAGTACCTGGCGCCGCCGCCTGCCGTCCCGACGGCGAACGAGCCCCCATCGTTGCCGGTCAAGCGAAAACGAGTGCCGTGGACCGTCGTGCCAACGCCCCAAATGGCTCTCGTCACAGTGTCGTCGTTTGGGTCGAATGTGTGTGGCACGGACAGCGCTGGGTCGATCTACTGCACGGCTTTCAATGCGGACACCCCAACGGTGGTGTCGTGGGTCCAGCTGCAAGGCCGCGCAATGCAGGAAGTTGTGGTGGCCGACAAGGGAGCTCTCTACGGCGTGAGCATGACCGGCGGCACTTTTTACGCACCTACATGCAAGGCGACCGCGAGATGGGTGCAGCAATCCGACGACCTCATGAACATGGCTGTCGACGGGTCGGTGGTGTGTGGCGTCAGCCGTGGGTCGCTCGTGTACTGCGCCAACCGCAACACTCAAACCAGCACGCCCAACTGGACGTTGCTCGACGGTATCTTGATTCAAATCGTCGTGGCAAATGGCGTCCTCTTCGGGCTGGATACACGAAACAAGCTGTGGACGGGCTCGTCCAAGACAATCGAGTCGGGGTCGGGGTCGTGGGCACCGATCGCCAACAGCGCCAAGTACTCTCGGATCTCGTACGACGGCATCCGTCTCTGCGGGGTCCTGACCCCTGGGAACAAGATCCGGTGTGCCGACGCCGGCCTAGCAACGTTGCCCAACTGGTACAACGTCCCTGGAGCAGGAGCCAACATGGCATACGTGTCGGTCCAACGCGAGAACTTGTTTGCACTCATGGCCAACTCGACGCTGCTCTACCGCGCCCTCGACGCCGGCGACGAAAACATCTAAGTTTGTGATGGCGTGGACGAGAAACAAGGAAACCATGCGATCGATCACTTGTCGCCCTGCACGAGCATAGCACCACATGCATGACACACCCCTTCCAATTAGATGGAATTCATTCAAACACAACACCATACCCTCTGTAAAACACCACAAGCAGCGCACTGGCGCGACGCCGCCTTGTTTCGTCTTCCTTCGCCCGACCTCGATCGCGTCGCTGCGGCGAGCGATTAAGTTTCCAACAGAGTTGGAGACACTTATGGATCGAAACAGTGCCTAATTAGGATAGATTCGTCCTGATTTCACGCATTTTATCATACAACAAGCAAGTGAT